CTCATGACACACTTTCATCATTGGCTAATGTCTGGCCTACTTTTTATTATTTAGTTGATTTAAAAAATTTTAATAAGCATGCACAAATCTACCACCAAAAACAAAAGCTAGAATCTTTCAATAACCTACATCTAACCATATGATATTTCCCAGCAGCACATCTCCTGCTTTCTTCAATCCAAATTTTGTGTACATCATTCTTTTCCCTTCCTTTTTATATTGTTCTATTAAATATTCATGCATGCCTAAACACATACCTTTTATTTAGAATGTTTTTAAGTTTAAATAATGTCATGCTGTATGTAATCCTTTGAGAGTTATTTTTTGTTATTATATTCCTATGATTCATTCAGACCACTGCATGCAACTGTAACTCAATTATTTTCACTTCCGTATTATACATTTCATTGTGTGACTATAGGCCACTTATTCAGGCACTCTCCCATGGATGAGCATTTGGGCCAATATCACCCTCACACAGCTACCATTCTGAGGTTGTCCTTCACCTCTGGAATTCAGCTAAACCAATGTCTTGTGTGTGTTCATGTAGTGAGAAATGTACTAGGAATATGGGAGATGTCAAGATGAGTCAGATATGTGTCTGTCCTTGGCAGGTTCACTGTCTGGAGACGGTGACACAGATGGAACCATACCCACAGAGGGCAGAATTTGCTAAATGCTGCAAATGTGCCATGTAGTGGGGTAGAACAGGGGAGGATAGGAGAGACTCCACATGCATTTCTAAGAGGTGTGAATGTTATGATGTGGGCATGCCACTTTGATAACCTTTGAGTATTCAAACATTGGAGGAGCATTGAAGACAGAAAATTATTTTGAGTGGGGAGAATATGAGAAGTTCAAGGGTAGGAGAAGATACAGAGAATATGGAAGATAGCGATACCTTGAAGTAGATGAAGCCTGAGTTACCTGACAGAGAAGGGGCACATTTTTTGAAAAGTTCAAAAAGGAGGAAGGGAGGTAGAACCCTGGCTCTGGAAGCTTTGAAGGCTGGGAGGAGAGATGAAGCGTTTATTCCATCTGCACTCGAAAGTCACTGGAGAAGACAGTGTCAACAATTTTGGTGGCTCTGAGGGTGAGCAGGTGGGTTCTGATGGGCTTGGGTCCTCTTTTGGACCTTTTGCAGGCACACTGAGAAGGGTGTATCTGCTAGTCTGGAAGATCCTACAGACACCCTTTTGCCTTCAGTTTATTCACCCAACATCTTCCTTGATATTCTCTACAGAACTTGCGGGCCTGTCTCTTACAGTTAAGAGGTCAGAGACACTGTCTCTGAAGACAATCTTTGAAGATGGAGACACTGATTTTTGAATGTTCTATGTTGGGTCTAACACAAAGTCTTTGCTCTAAAAATATTGCCTGTCTTAGCACTTTTCTTATGATTTTTTTCTTTCTAAAAAGAAGTGCTAAGGCGGAAGGAGAATTTTTTGGTTATTTTAAAGATTTCTCTTCAGGAAGAAGATGACTTCCGCATGTATGTCACATTTTGATGAACAGAGAAAAATAACTAAGAGGACATAATAATAAATAAATAATAAAAATAATAAGAGGTTTAACCTCTTGTCACTTGCTTGACAAACAAATACATGCACATTCACATTGAACTACCCATTGGGGTCAGAAGAGGAGATGCTGCCAAATTGTTTTATTTCAGAGACATTCGTTTATCATGAGAGGAGAAAGATGTAATCCCTTTTCTCTAAGTGGCTCTTTACATAAATCACTTGGAATCATTTTGAAACAAACTATACCATGTTTGTTCTATTATGGGGTTAGATGCTCTTCACTTTCAGAAGAAATCCCTTCTTGGTTTTTAACTGCAAAATTCCTCAGATTAAACCTCTATTAACAACTGGGAAGCCAACTCCCATGACTAAGCCTGTGTAGTAGAAACTCTTTGCCCTAATTACATAGATTTGAACTCTAATGTGTTTGCTTCTGCTTTGGGATATGAGCAAGTGTCTTTCCGAAGAAGTGGAATAGGAGGGGAAGAAATACTCAAAGACTCAAATAAGTGACTGAACCAGAAAAACTGTATGGAAATTAGGTCATTAAGTCACAGTGACACCGCAGTGGCCCAGAAGCAGCAAATTAATACTTAGAGGTGAGCTGGGCTAAAAGCTATAGTGTGAGTTGTTCTGAAGAAGAGAAATCGAGTAGTGTTCAGGGCTCCAGAAAGAGGCAGACTCCACAGAGCTCCAAACCCTCCTGTGGGCAGGTGCAGGGCCTGCCACATTTCTCAAAGGCCTTTGCTGGATATTGACTGGTTCCTTTGGCTTAAATCAGGGGAGCATTTCAAGGTAAAAGGCTATGCAATGTCCAAAAGAATGAAAAGAACGGAAGAACTTACCAGTTAAAAGCACAGGATTCGAAGACACTTATATCTGGGTTTGCTGTTGACTGTGGATGACCCTGGGCATTTTGTATAAGCTCTCCATACCCCAGTCTTTTCTTCTCCAAGAGAGGGATAAGCAGTCTACCTCATATTTCTTAATGCTTATCAAGTGACAGTTTATTTATTATTATTCTCTCTCCTGTAAATATAAGTTCTGCAAAGATGGGGACCTGGGGGTATTTTATGCACCGCTGCATTGCCAGAGCCCAGGACAGCTGAATTCTGAACACAGTTATTTAGAATGAATAACTGAATGTATCAATAGATTTGCTCTGTGAATTCAATGAGCCCTGTTTTGATACAGTGTCTAGTAAATTGTCTGGCACATACTAATTTGTGTGATAAGTGGTGGCCTAACCTTTTCCCTCTACTTATCTCTCTCCATTTCTAGAAAGAGGCACAGATCCCTGGTTATATACTAGAGAACAAGATCTCTGTTTGCACTGTTTAATGATGACTGTGATTTCTCTGATGAAAAGTAAGGGCAGGGACCCAGCATTTTCTGGCACCATCTAGGAAGATGTATTATCCCATTTATCTTGAATCTCATTCACTCCCAGCCTGGAAATCTTTTTCTTAGCCACACACTCTGCTCAGTCCTGCCTCTCACTTTAGTGGTTACTCTGGGCTCTGCCAACAGTGGCTTGTCTTCTCTCTCCCCTTCTGAGTCCTAACCTTTGGCAGGGTCCATCTCAAGCACCTGCTCCTCTGTGGGGTCCTCCCTTCCCCCTCCTCCCTCAGTCAGCTTCTCCTGAGTATTAGTTCTTTTGGACACAAGTTCACATAGAATATGCCCTATATGGGCCTTTCGGAGCAGAGTGACACAGGCCATGAGTACGAGGCTTGATCTACTTCAAATAGAGACTCCTCCATTGGCCAACACTTGTTGAATTCCTACCTAACACTCAGTTCAGTGTGAGGTGCTGGAATGGAGATTAACAAGGTGTTAGGGGCAACTTTAAGAAAACCAAGATCAGGTGGAGATCTGCTGCTCTGGGATTTGGCCTAAAAGAAGAGAGGAACTCCAAATACTAGAGGCATACCCCTGAATTACCTGAATCTGTGTGCATCTTTCTTTCTCTGTAGTGATAGCTTGAGTGATGCACTAGTCCAGATAGGCTGTCAAATTTATTCCCATACATGTCAAGGAGCTTCTGCCACTTGGTGTGCTGAGAGGGCTTTGCAGGGTGACAGGAAATCAGAGTTCTTATTTACCTTGAGGACTCCGTGGATTTTCTAATGCAGTCGTAATGTCCATTTTTCTTTTCAAAGCAGTATATTTTTAAATGGGAAATACTACATAAAACCCCAATATATAGACAAAAAAAGTGAGCTGTTCTAGATAGTGTATGCTGCAGGAGAGGCCAGAGGTCTCAGACTCCTACCTCTTAGCCTTCCTTTTTACTACAGAATTTTGCCTTTTCATGGAACTCAGAGGTCATGATTTATAGTGTAGAATCCAAAGCAAAGAAAAACAAAACAAAAAGCTGCAAGAGCCAGGCGAGATCATTTCTAAGTGACCTCAGGTTGGCTGAACTGTTTTATGCCCAGCCCTGTATACACCTTATTTTATCCAGTCTTCCCACTCACCCTTTGAGGTAGGCTTTGACAGTCCCATTTCACAGATAAAGGAACTGAACAAAAGGGAGACTCAGGATTGTATTCATTACTACCCTGCCTTTAATGCTAAGATTCAAACCCAGATCTTATTCAAACCCAAATAAGTTTGGATCCCCACCTTACTTCCAACTCCCGAACTCTATTCCTCCTGGAATGGGCAGTGGTAAAACTACTCTCAAGAGCATAGAGGCAGAGGATGTTTTTAAGATCACAATTTTTCATCTTGGTCTTTTTTGTCCCCCAGTAGGCCTTATCCACACCAACTCTGAAGGCCAATGTCTTTGGTAAAGAGCAAGTCTGAGTCACACATACACGGTATAAGTAAGACATGGGAGAACAAAATAGAGTAAGACAAAGGCTCTAGGACTTGGCCAAGTTTACAAAATCAGCACCAAATGACACTAGTCTTCCAACCCCAAAACTTTATTCCTAAGTCCTACGTCTCCAGAACAAAACCAGAGCCTGGTGGCTTATACATGCCCCAGAGATGGAGCCCGAGAGAAGCCCTGGAAAACAGCCTCCCATTAGAGATGGTCATCCGCAGACAATGCAGGAGGGGACGCAGAGCCCAACTCTGTACTGTTTCTTCTCTCCAGACGTCCAGGTCTGCCAAGTGTGGAAGCCGCTCTCTAATGGGAGCCCTCAGAAATGGCACAAATTGAGGCCTCCAGTAATGCAATCACTTCTAATCAGTGTTTAATGAGGATACAAGCAGCCTCAGCTTACCCCTGTTTCAAAGAGGCAACTACACATAAACCTCAATTACTCAGACATTTAAAAATCAATTTCAAATAAAATGTCCAGGTGATGGAACTAAAGGGATTAGAAAGATCTGGATGTGTGCACAGGCCTGGCATGCCTTGTCAATGCAATTGAGGTAGGCAGCTCCTGTAATGTAATAAAGCTGGCCAGCTTTGTGCCCCCAGGGGTAGAAGGGGAACAGGTCTAATTTTCCATTTCCCCACAGAAACAGAGGAAGATTCCAATGACAGAAGGAAGAAGACATCTCTGTACTTCTGCCCATTCAAGCTGTGTTCGGAATGTTGTCTTCATCTCATTTCATAGTTGTAAAGAGGAAAAGTAGCCTCAGGCTATACAACTCAAGGTCTCTGCTCCAACCTGGCCTCCACCTGTACTACCAAATCGATACATTACTATTTTTATAGGTGATCATGACTTTTTGGCCAGTCATATTTACTTATCATTCCCATCAACATGCTGGTAATTTAGGTCAATAAACTTTTATTGACTATGTACCATGTGTCAGGTGCTTTTCTGGGCAAGCAGGGGCACAAAGGTGAGGAAGTTATAGTCTCTACCTCAATTTACACAGTAGAGGAAGGATGAGGCCAACTCCCCACCTCATCTGGATGTATGGTCCTGCAAAACCAAGTTACTTGTCTCTTTAGTCAAGTGCAACGTGCAGCCAGAGAAACACTAATACGTAGGGTAATACCGTCAGTAATAATCATCATAGCTAGCATTTAACGGACAAGGGGCTAAATACTTTACTGGCATTTTTTTTTTTTGACCACCAAAACCACCCTATGAGTTGGGTATTGCTATTATCTTCATTTCCCCATGTTGTAGGTTAACGAACCTTACAGGGTTGTTGTGTTAATTAAGGAGGTCCATACTGTAGTGGGCACCAGTGGGGTTGGCTACCCGTGCCACTCTCCCTAAACCGAGAGTTGCTGCCCTCTCCATTCATATTGCATTCAGTGGTATGCCCTGGAGTTGTGAAAGCATAGCTTTCAAAAATTTAAAACCATGACTCATACAAAATAGAATGAATACAAATTAAAAAAATCTATTCAACTTATTAATTAATGAAGGAAGCAGTAGGATGGTAAAGCTGCTTCCAGGAAAAATTAAGAGGAAAAAAACGTATGTAGTTGGTCAGTCAAAGAGATATTAAAATAAATTTGCTAATTAAAAAAAAAAGGCAGGGGATTAATGTCTTACAGGGCAGTCAAGCTCTAGCTTTCTGGTTATCTTTTATCCCTTATGGAAACTGACCAGAAGATCTATAACTCAGAACATCTGGGGTTTAATCAGATAGGAAATAGCCAATTCAAACACAAGCACATTCTCCTAGGTCAGGGGTCAGCAAACTCTTTATAGAGCCAGGTAGAAATACTTTTGGTTTTGCAGGTCACAGGATCTCTGCTAAACTACTCAATTCTAGCATTGTAACATGAAAATAACCTTAGATAATACATAAACAAATGGCTATGGCTGTGTTCAAATAAAACTTTACTTACAAAACATATGGCTGCCAGTCATAGTTTGTCGACTCCTGTCCTAGATAATTAAATATGAATTTGGGCGAGCCAGTTAATGCCCAAGGGTGATATTGAAGGGACATGCAGTTATCCTCTTGTTTTATCTCTATTTTTTAATTTATTTTTCTTAAGAGCACTAAAGTGGGAATGGAGCCTCCTGGATTTGCTGATACAGTGTCTTGCCCGCCTCTCATCTACATAGATACAGTGGAGCCTTCATGTTTATTCAGATGGACCACTTCCTCTCCCTGCCTAATCTTATTAGAATTGATAGGAACACAGCTGGCAACGGACTCAGTCTCCAGATTTACAATGGTGCTGATTCCTGCCTCAAGCTGGTTGCTATCTTGAGTGGAAGAGGTATAACCTCTAGGGCTGAGTTTCTTCTGCGTCACTTGGAACCAAGGCCTTTGAGGTCAGAAGGAACTCTAGTTCACCACTCACTGTGTCTCTGCACCTCTATTTCATTATCTATACCGCGAAGATAATAATGTACCTACTTCATGGGGCTGTTATGTAGTTTAAATGTAGTAGTGCACTGTGTGCAAAGCACCTGACTTGGAGCAAGGTATGTGCACTGCAAATATCACTTCTCTTGTCTTTAGGATTCCTCCCTTGTTCTCATCTCCGGTGACTTCAATGCTAAGTGGCTTTAGTACTGACACGGGAATTATGCTGATACCACAGCTCTGCCTTCCCTTTGCTTGAGTTCAATGCCATTTCTCCTCCATGATGCTGTTTTATTTCATTTGTTGATGCCTAACCTTTGACTTTCATTCACATTACTTCTAATAACTTTGTGCTTTATGGGGGAGTAAGTGTGCTATCTGCTCTATTTGCTTTTGTGAGCAAGAAAGAGTAGGTGAGTTTTAAGTACAAACACTGAGCAGTCTTGTGGCTGGGGGCTTTACATAGGCCATCTTTAATCCAAACAACCATTCATTTTTAGGGACATCATTCTCTCTGTTTTATAGATGAGGAAACTGAGGCTCAGGGAGGCTTTAGTCGCTGGCCAAAGATTGTCCTCCTAGAAAGTGTTTGAGGGCTGGGATTCCAACCCAAGCCTGACCAACTCTAAAGATAATGAATTATTTCGTCCATTATGAAGGAACAATTCAAAGTGCTCTTCATTTGGCTGAAATTTTGCGTCTTACTTGCTTCTCTTTCTTTGGCAAAACTGATCCTCTGTGGCCCAAATGAAGAAAAAAAACAACCATTTTCCAGTGCCTAAAATTAAACGAGAAGCTTTTAGGATGATGTGCTCAAACACTTCAGCAGCTTATATCCCATTTTCCATTCTTGAGCAAGTCAGTAGGCAATGTCTCCACTGTGGATTTCTCACTTCTCTGGAAGTGCTTTTCTATATTCTTACCAGGCTCCACTCTGACCATGACAAGAATTCAGAAGCCAGAGTCACATAAAAGCACGATGCATAGCCAGATCATTCCAGAAGGTTTATGTCCATGTCCATCAAAATGTGGCTTTACTCCTTGAACAGAATATGCCTGCATGTCTGCTCACAAGAAAAGCATATCCTATGGCAGCTGGGACCAGCCACTACAGTAACTTGGAGAAACAACAGGATAGGGAAAAGATGAGATGAACTTTCTATAGACACTTATTTTTAGCTGCTGGGCATTGTAACATCCTACCTATTTTTAAGAAACATGATAGGTTGAAGTCACTGCTCCTCTTCCCTCTCCCTATTACAGATCTTGCTCCACATCCCAGTTCCTTGGCAGGTATGTCATGTGACATACCCATACACATGTGACATAAACTGGCCAATCAGATTCTCCCATCAAGGATTTCAAATTTCAAGAATGTGATACATCTGTACAGAAGCAGTTAGAGATTAATCCTGATAGCTTTGCGGGAGTTTAAAGTCTATCAGCAGAGAGGCAAGTGTCCAGGAGTATCAAGGCTGGTGGAAGCAGTTCAAAAAGACAATTCCTGTCACAGGATCTTGATGGTGCCCAACCTCCTTTGGTTTCCGCCCATTTTCTGAGCTTGGTTCTCCAGGATCTTATCACTATTCTGAGTTTTCCAATAGTTTTCTAGGAAATTATTGTTCTACTTAAGCTAGCCTGATTTGGTTCCCACAGTTAGCAAGGAGTACCCTGAATGATGTGCTTCTCAATATCCACCTGCAAGACCTGGGCCCCTGGGCATATTACCATTCTCATTCAAAGGACATTCCCTCAAAAGAGGCTGTCAGCATTTCCATTAAGTTGGAAGAAAAAGACAAAAAGTCTCAGAACTTTATATATATATTTAGAACCTGAGCACCAAGCAGTTATTTTGGTCATCACTTTAATTTTGTTAATCTACTAATCCAAGGGAGGTGTATATACAGGAGCCCAGACAAGGACTTTTCCTCCTGCCTGTCATCAAAAGATAAGTTTCAATAATCTCATATCAATGCCTAGCTTATTTCTTTCATAGGAATAGAAGATTTGAGAAATGCATTGGGTCAAGGTTCTGCTGTCATATTCATTGAATAAATAAGCTGAAACCCAGGTTCTTAGTGCTTGCTTTTGTTCCAGCCTGTCCTAGATGTCTTAGTTTCATCCTAGTCACAAACTAATAAAGGAAACGGACATTTATTGGACATTTGTACCATTGAATTCATTCCTTAAATCTGCATGGTGAGGTAGGCACTATTATACCCATTTCTTAGTGGAAGAAAGAGGCTCGTACAGACGAAAGAACTTGTTCAACCATGGTGCTGGTAACTGTGCAGTCAGGATTAAAAGTAACTTCAAAATCCATGAACTGTCCACTCTCCCAGTTTTGGGAAAACTGAAGCCATTGTTGCTGATAAATTCAACTACAGATGAGACTATCCTGGCCAAAAGAAAGAATCTACTTTTGCCAAATAATGCATGGAGTTATTGTAATTGAACTACCTTTCATTTTGAAAGAATCATTTTAATGGATATACAGAGTGCCTAACACATAGTAGGTAGTAAAAAAAATATTGAAATAAATGATTTCTGACTTGTTAAGAGAGAAAATAGTAACAGATACAGAAAGAAATAACCCAGGCTTGTGTGTGGTGTTTTCCACATTTTTCAGTTTGGTTTGCTGCTTGGCAAACATAAAAGTCAAAATTTTTTATGGGATGTTTCATAACTGATAGATGAACTTGGCCTAATTGTTGATCCATAGAGAGTGATTCGAAATGCCAATAGCCTCAGGGTTAAATTTCCCAACATTTGTTGTGGAAATATTTAGTCAGCTAATAATCTCTCTCCTGCTGACGACTTTGGCAGGAAGTGTACCCCTTGTTTTTAAAGAAACCAAAAACAATCCTCAAGGAGGATTCATAGCTGCCTGAAGCTCTGGAAGAGCTAGAATGACGATGATGTGGAATAACATGCAGGATGGAACTTAAATTCCTTGCTAAATATAATTAAAGCAAAAAAAGTTTTAAAAAGAACCTGTAAATACAAGAATGTGCATCCATGATATGAATAAATTAAGTAGAAAAAAATTCATGTACAAAGGACTGGTTAAATTTTTTTTTTAATTGTTTTCTGGAGTCTTGCTATGTTGCCCAAGCTGGCTTCAAATTCCCAGGCTCATGCAATCTTTCCATCTCCATCTCCCAATTAGCTGGGACTATAGGTATGCAATGCCATAGCCAGCCTGGAAATTTTAAAAACATGATCTCTGCCAGGTAGTGTCAGAATGGCCTAAAGAAATTTCTATTTGAGCATCTATCCCTCCATCCCTCCATCCCTCCATCCATCCCTCCATCCATCCCTCCATCCCTCCCTCCGTCCCTCCCTCCGTCCCTCCCTCCACCCCTCCGTCCGTCCGTCCGTCCGTCCGTCCGTCCGTCCATCCATCCATCCTGAATACATATTGAACTTCCACTGAGGAGAACAGGAAGATGTGAAGACTGGCTGTTCCCCTTGAGGAGCTCAATGGAAGTAAAACATTTTATTCTTTGTATTTCTTTAGCT